TTTTTTTTTTTTTTTTTGGTTATGAATATTCATGAGATACAAAGCTGATCGTCACCCCTCATGCCCAAGATGTGAAGGCCAGATCCATACTGGTAGCATGCCCATTACCACAAATTGCAGTTGTACCCTGTGTCCCCCACCCAATTATCTCTCCAATTATCCATGACCTCCCGCCCCTTTCTTCTTTCCCCCATTCCACTTTGTATCCCTAGGTGTGCTCTCTCCCTCTGCAAGTTCATCACACCACTGTGGTCTGTCTTTCCTTCCTTCTTTCTCTTTTAGCTCCCACATATGAGTGAGTACATGCGGTATTTATCCCTCTGTGCTTTGCTTATTTGACTCAATATAAGTTTCTCCAGGTTCATCCATGTTGTTGCAAATGGGAGAACTTCATTCTTTTTTATGGCAGAGTAGTATTCCATGGTGTATATATACCACAGTTTCCTTATCCAATCATCCATCGATGGACATTTAGGTTGGTTCCATGTCTTGGCTATTGTGAACAGAGCTGCAATGAACATGGGAGTGCAGGTATCCCTTCGACATGATCATTTCCATTCCTTTGGGTATATACCCAGAAGTGGGATTGCTGGATCGTATGGAAGATCAATCTGTAGTTGTTTGAGAAACCTCCACATGGTTTTCCATAGTGGCTGTACTAATTTACAGTCCCACCAACAGTACAGGAGCATTCCCTTCTCTCCACACCCTTGCCAGCATTTGTTATTGACTGTGTTTTTTATTATAACCAGCCTAACTGGGGTGAGATGGTATCTCAGTGTGGTTTTAATTTGCATTTCCCTGATGACTAGTACCTGTTGGCCATTTGTATATCTTCCTTTGAAAAATGTCTATTCAGCTTCTTTGCCCATTTTTTAATTGGGTTTTTTTTTTTTTTACTGTGTAATTGCTTGAGTTCTATGTATATTCTGAATATTAATCCCTTGTTGGATGCATAATTAGCAAAAATTTTCTCCCATTCTGTAGGTTGTTGTTTCACTCTGTTGATTGTTTCTTTTGCTATGCAGAAACTTTTCAGTTTGATATAGTCCCATTTGTTTATTTTTTCTTTGGTTGTTTGTGCTTTTGGGCTCATGTACATAAAGTCTGTGCCCAGACCTAGTTCGTGAAGTGTTTCACCCTATATTTTCCCTTAGTAATTTTACAGTTTCAGGTCTTATACTTAAGTCTTTAATCCATTTTGAATTGATTTAAGTATATGGTGAAAGGTGCATATCTATTGTCATTCTTCTGCATATGGATATCCAATTTTCCCAGCACCACTTATTGAAGAGGCATTCTTTTCCCCAATGTAGGTTTTTGTTGTCTTTGTCCAATGTTAGATGGCTGTAAGCCTGAGGGGTGATTTCTGTGTTCTCAGTTCTGCTCCACTAGTCTGAATGTGTATTTCTATGCCACTACCATGCTGTTTTGGTTACTATAGCTTTGTAGTATAATTTGAAGTCAGGTAATGTTATAAAGGGAATCCAGATTGGAAAAGATGAAGTCAAACTGTCACTATTTGAAACATACTATATATAGAAAAACCTAAAGACTCTATCAAAAAACTTCTAGAGCTGGTTAATAATTTCAGTAACTTTGCAGGATACAAAATAAATGCCCCCAAATCAGTTTCATTTGTATACTCAAATAATGTACCAACAGAAAGAGAAATAAAGAAAGTAAGCCCATTTACAATAGTCACACAAAAAAATAAAATACCTAGAGATCAATTTAATCAAGGAAGTGAAAGATCTCTACAGTGAGAACTACAAACCACTACCAAAAGAAATTAAAGAAGACACAAAAAGATGGAAATATATTCCATGCTCTTGGATTGGAAGAATTAACATTGTGAAAATGTCTATACTACCTAAAGTGATCTACAGATTCAATGCAATCAATCCCCATCAAAATACCAATGACATTCTTCACAGAAATAGAAAAAACAATATTAAAATTCTATGGAACAACAAAAGACCCCAAATAGCTAAAGCAATCCTGAGCCAAAAAAAAAAAAAGCCAGAGGCATGACTTGGCTATTTTGAGGCAGCCTTAAAAAATGAGACTTTAAAAATTCTTTGTATTCATTCATTTGTTAAATGTTAGTTGAGCTCCTCCTGTTGTGTGCTGGGTGCTGTGATTTTTGTTCTTATGGAACTTGGACTCTAGTGGAGGAGAAATACATTAAACAAATGGTCACAAAAGTGCATACATAATCATACACTGTGATAGGTACTATCAACGGGAAGAGTGGAAATTTATAATAAAGAAAGAGTAGGCTGGACCTGGTCTAGACCAGAGAGTCTGAAGACGGCTCTCAGGAGATGACCTTTGTGCAGGGATGGGAAGGTGAGCTGATGTTAACTAAAAAGAGCGAAAGAGCACAGGGAACAGTATGTGCAAAGGCTGTAAGACAAGAGTGACTGTGATGCCTTCAGCGAATGGAGGAAGCCCGAGTTGCTGCAGCCTAGTGAGTGCAAGGGACAGTGACCTGGAAGGAGATTAGAGAAACTGACAGAGGCCAGACCCCGTGGGATCTTAGAGGCTAAAGTGGGTATTTAGTATTTATTCAAGTCTCAATGGGTAGCCAGGGAAGAGTTTCAAGCAAGGGAGAGACAGATCTTCTGTACGTTTGACAAAGGGCACTCTGACCTGTTAGGAGGCCACTACAGAGGTCCAGGTCAGAGAGGATGATGGCCTGGACCACCATGGCAGTGACAATGGAGATGGGGAGAAGTGGTTGGATTTGGAATCTATTTTGGAGGTAGAACTAGCAGGTTTTGTGGATAGACCAGAGGTTAGGGGAGAGTGAGAGAAACAACAAGGGTGACCCCCAATGCTGCCCACCAAGACATATATCAACAGCCGTCCTCATCCTATTGTGAACTCTGACCCCTGGTGGAGTCCCTGGGACAAGGTGAGAGATGGTTGAGAGGGGGGTTAGGGATGGATCAGGGGTGTCTATAACAGGCATTCTTTGGTAATGAAAGTCAATCATTTTATATTAGGATACACTGTTACTAGTGTTTCAAATTAGCTGCTTTGTAATTAGAGATATTTGTGTGTAGGATTATTTCTCCTATTAGAAGGTGAACTATTTGAGGTCAGCCTCTTATCACTGAATTTACAAAGTGCCTAATGTGTCTTAAACACAATGAGTTCTGAGCTCTTGTTTACTGAATGAAAAGATTCAATTCTATTCAACACAAACTGGACTCAGTGCAATAGAGAATGTAGAAGGGTCCCCGAGAGCCATCAATCTCATGTCATTTATCACTTTTTAAATTTCTTAATGAGTTTCCATGGCTGGGGAAGTGAAAGGCTATGTGCCTGAATCCATGACAAGTGTAAAGTGCATTAGAGAATATTCCAGTGTTTTGAAAACCAGAGATCTAAGGTTTATATTCTAGTAGCTGGAATATCTGATTGGCCAGAAAAGGCTATTCTTTGGGAAACAGAGAGCTCACCTCTGTGCTGGAGAGTTTTTAGACTAGAGCTGGGAGCAGAGACTTTATACAGTTACAGCATTTGGATGATAGAAATGGGGTGGCCTCATTTTCAGTGTATTAGAAGAGGAAGTAGGCACGACCTGCACCTGGAAAGGATTTACTGAGTTCTCACACGATTTCCTTTCCCGCCAGCCGCTGTATGTGTCCTGCTGAGAATCCTGGCTGCAGAGACCAGCCCTTTACCATCTTGTACCGAGACATGGATGTGGTGTCAGGACGCTCCGTTCCCACTGACATCTTCCAGATGCAAGCAACGACCCGCTACCCTGGGGCCTATTACATTTTCCAGATCAAATCTGGGAATGAGGGCAGAGAATTCTATATGCGGGTAAGAGGGAGTGGTGAGCAGTGGTCACCATCTCTGACAAAATGTGTTAGCCTGTGCTGTCTAGGCTAGGAACGTGCTTCATGGAGACAGATAAGGGTGCAGCTAGGAGGGACAGGGGTGAAGGGAGAAGTTTGGAGTGGGTGGGAGTCAGGTGGTCGATGTCCTGGTTTCCATCACTTTCTCTGTGGCGTTGCAAAAGATCTTCTCCTCTGGGAGCCTCAGGATGCTCCTCTGAGAAATGAGAAGTCAGACCAAGATGCAATCTTAGGTCTCATTTCTCCTGAAATTCTGTAGGAGAGGCATTCACATGTCCATTATCCATCCACCCCTTTGACAAATATTTGTTAAGTACTTACCATGCATTTCTGGAAACTGAGGATTCAGCAGTGAAGAAAATATCCAAGCCTGTGCCCTCCTGGAATGTGAAGGCACCGCTCACAGTGGGGGGCTCTGCTGGCATTGTCCAGCACAGCAGCCACGGTGGCTCTTTCAATCTATTCAGTGAAAGTTAAATAAAACATTCAGTTCTTCCATGGCACTTGCTGCATTTCGAAGTGCTCTGTAGCCACATGTGGCTAGTGGGAGGGTGCTTCAAAAAGTTCATGGAAAATAGAATTAAAAGAAAATATGTATCTTTTCACAAACTTTTTGAAGTTCCCTCATATTAGATAGCTCAGATATACAACATCTCTTTCACTGTAGGAAGGTTGGCTGGACAGCACTGATGTACTCATATCAGTAAAAAAGTATTAGAGCATGACTTCCTAAAATACACTTACTTTGTTGTACACTGCACACATGTGATACCAGACCATTTATATTATTGAGCTTCATCTCATGCAACACCCAGGTGGTCACATATCTTTAGAGACCACTGGCTTAGAGCAATGTTTTTCACATTTCAGTCTGAATTTGTGTACTTGTCCAAAGAGCAGATTCCAGAGCTTCCTCTCCAGAGAATCTATTCCAGAAGATGCTGAGTGAGGCCCAGCGTATTAGTTTCCCATGGCATCCTCCTATCTGGCCTCCCATCTGTACAGACACAGTGGGTTCCAATCATAGGATGCAAAATCGCCCCCTCTTGGGGATTTAAAATGCCATCATGATACCACCTGCTTCAGGACAGAAGATCTGCACAGGGGGGCCTTGTCTAGGTGAGATTTCACTTACCCAGACACCATCCACCGAAATCCCCCTAGATCCAACCTGTGCACACTAGGGTGACATCTCAGGTTTATCCATAGGACCCACAGGCACTTTCAGTTACTGTGGAATTGTCTCCTCTCATGTCATGAGTCTATGCTGGTTTAAATGGAAACTTCAACCACTCAGCCTCATTCATTGTAAAGTTTCTCCCTGTCCCTTAGGTCAGAGCAGGGAGGGGTGTGGTGGCCTTGGTCCTGCCTTCCTCTTCCCCTCCCAGCAAAGACAGTGCTGACCCTGGCTCCTCGAGGGTTGAGGGATGGGGTACAGATGGGAGGAGGAGTGAGGCTGGGAGGCCCAGGGGCTTACTTGGTTATTGCCATTGTAACCAGGCCTTGGTGCTGTCTGGGGCAGAGACCCAAATGCTCTCACTTTCACAGGATGCTTTTGTGGGTTTTTTTGAGATTTGCCTCAGGACTTCACACCGACCAGTTCTTTATGTGGACAGTGGGGCCTCTGGTTGACCACCCACCACCCCAAACCTCTCAGCCCTCTTTCTGGTGCTGTGTCCCACAGACTTGCAGTGGTGGTGGTGGTGTGTGGGGGGAGGGGGTCCCTGCACCCTGGCAGGCAGAGCTTACACGAGGGCTTTTCAGGACACGAACACCAGCTCCCCTGCAGTCCCCTCTCCTCACTGGTGTGGGGCAGCTCAGGGCTCTCATCTCTAGACTTCTCCAGGACAGAGTCCAGTACCACTCTCCGCATCCTTGAACTTTAGGGGACCCACAGCTCTGAACAGTTCTCTTGAAACCCCCTCTTGCCTGAGTAGGGGCTGGTAATAAACATAAATGTAATAAACGATTAATAAAATATATGTAGTCTGGAGGTGGTGACAGAGTGTGGGAAACAGATGTGGCTTTAGATCACCACTTTGCAATTCGTGTGCAACAGCAATGGTGACTACATACATAGTAGCAGCAGCAAGTCATGACAGTGATTGACAAGTGCCAGGAACTGCTCCAAGTGCTTTCCGTGTATCAATCCTTTAATCTTCACAACAGTTCTATGATGTAAGATGTTTTATCTTCCCAAGTTTACAGATTAGAGTATAGAAGCACAGAGGCTAAGCAACCTGCCTAAGATCTTGCAACTAATAAGCACCAGAGCAAGATTTGAACCCAGGCAGCCCGGCACCAAAATCTGTGCTCTTACATTTCTCTTTAGAATGTGGGGTATATTTACCTACTCTTCTAATTTGGGGTCTCAGCAGAAATTAAGATAACAAGAAAAGTCTACTTCAATAGCCAATAACAATAGAAATAATTCAATAAATATTTGTTATTATTTTAGAGATACTGTTGTTACTGCTACTGTTGTCAGTGGAGCTTCTGAGCCTTGGAGAAGTTGGGAAAGCTTCCCAGGGAGTATCACATGGGAGGTTGGGCTGCATGGCCATTCAGGCTCTCCCACCCTGATATTCACTGAGTTGATTACAAGTGCTTGGGAGGAGCTTCATCTCACCCAGCAGGCGAATTACACACACCCATGTACGCACATGCATGCATGTGCATGACACATCCATGTGCATATGCATGCACCCCACCCCCACACACATGTACACGCACACACACACGCATAGCCCTTTCTCAAGCACTGTTGGCAGTGTGTCTCACACTGAGTCCTGGACAGAGAACTGGTGATTGGCTTTGGCCAAGTGGCTCAGGCATACAATTAGGGCCAGAAGAAGGAGCATGGTCATGGGATTCAGACTGTGCCAAAGTGTATTTACTCCATGACACATGTGGGTTAGGTGTCAGGGCCAAGGCCAGCTGAATTGCCACGGTGAGACAGTGCCACCCCACAAGTTGATTCAGAACAAACCTGAGTGTGTTCACACAGATCAGGGCAGAGAAGACACGTCGGGTGGGCTGTGTGTAGTCTAGTCCACTGCAGTTAGCTCCACTGGCATTCAGTCATCCGTGTGCATTCTTCTGTCACCAGCATTTATTCAGCACTATTACGTGTGTGCCTTTGAGTCAGGCACTTGAGAGTTCAGAAACAAACAGGATGTGGCTTCTGTCCTTGAGGAAGCCACAAGATATGGGAGGGAGGGGGACAAACAACCTGGCAAATGCAATACAAAGTGGTGATTCTCCAGGCAAGTCAAGTAAGGAGATAGAGAGGCATTGAGACCTTTTCATAGAGTGTAGTGGTTTTTGGATTCAGACGCTCTAGTATCATGCACTAGTTTTGTGAACTGTGTAATATCCTTAACTTACTTACAGTGCAGGGTTATGAGGATTGAAAAAGAGATGTATGGAAGATTGTAGCCAGAAGCCTGGCATCACAGCCATCATCATCATCCCCGCCACCACCATTCTCATTGTCGTCATTTTGCCCCAGTGACCACCAAGGCCCCTGATGACCATGAGGGTGCTATAGATCTGACCCAGGAGGAGATTGGACTCACCGACCTTTACGGTTACTGACAAATAGGGGAGTCTAGGATTGTTTCATACTCTGGAGACATTTATTAGGAAAGCCCAAAGGAACAACTTGGAAGTTTCTACATGCTCCATTCCCCTTTCCAGACCATAGGCTTTGCAGATCTCTCTCCAAAGGGCTTCCCACAGCTCAAGGTCCTTAAGCCTTGGCTTCTGTTCATGCAAACAGCAAAAGCTGGCAAGATATTTGTATATGTAAATGCCATGGGCATTTCCCTGTGTGCTGTACCCTCTGAAGTCCTGGCTCAGGGCTCTGAGGTTTCGCAAGAGCTGACAAGGAAGTCCGAGTGATCAGAGGAGGTGCCAATTACGCAGATGCTGACGCTACCAGAGGGAGCCAATGCCAAGAGGAAATCGTGTGGCTGTCAGGCTGCTGATAGCCCACTGGACAGGGAAGGTCCCAGTACCTAGCCTGCACCTGTCTGCCAGCTCCACCCTTGTTGCACCTGTGGCAGCTCTTGGAGATGTTCAGTACTTTATGGGGAGCCCTCTCTTTGTGGAGACAGATAAAACGCCTGGTGTGGCTTGATTTCCCAGAGCCTGTTGCTTTCAGCTTCTGGGCGCAGGGCTGGACTCTGCAGCTTCTGGGAAGTGATTGTCCACTTCCCAGACAATCTCACACCTGTTCTCCCTCACACTGTTTCCTCAACAGGTGCCCAATATCTGCCCATTGCACTGCCCCCTGTGCATCTCTCATTTAGGATAGTTCCAGGGAGAAGTAAAACACATGCCAGTCTCTTCTGATAATTGTTGTGCAATGAAAAAAGCCTGAGGTTGGGGGTTAAACATAAACACCTGAGTAGAAGCCCTTGGCTCTGCCCCTGACTAGCTGAGTGACCCTAATCAATTACTTAACATCACCCAACCTCAGTTTGCTTATTTATAAAATGGGGAAATAGTGAGACATACTTTTACTGTAGATTTTAGACAAGGGCAGCTGGGGTCCCCCACCTGGGTCCTGTGCTTTTTGATCAGCACTCATCAGTTGTTAATGTGCATAAGAATCACCTGAGGACTGCATTAAGCTACAGATTCTGGCCCAGTAGATCTTAGGAGGGACCTAAGATTCTGTGCTGGGGTCCCCCACCTGGGTCCTGTGCTTTTTGATCAGCACTCATCAGTTGTTAATGTGCACAAGAATCACCTGAGGACTGCATTAAGCTACAGATTCTGGCCCAGTAGATCTTAGGAGGGACCTAAGATTCTGTAGTTCTAACAAGCTCCTCGATGTTGCCTATGCTGCTGGTCCAGGAACCACACTTTGAGTAGCAAGGCTTTCACGTTTTTGTTTGTTTTACAAATAAGCTGATGTACATAAAAGTGGCTGGAAGGGTGCCTCACACATGGTGGGTGCCCAGTTGATGTCAGTCCTCTGTCTCTACCTCCTTGAAGCTTTGAAAAAAAGATTCAGTGGAGGAGAAAAATTCACATGAAATTATTAGGACCACAGTGATAGGGTCATGGATTGATGAAGCTGGAGGTGAGTACAAGATGTCTAGATGAGGACTCTTAAACAAATTTCCCCTTTCCCGGACATCACCTAAGAATGTACGGAACTAGAAAATCTTGGGAGAGGCTCTGGAATGGTTAGTTTTAAAACAGTATCCTTGGTGCTTTTGATGACATTTGTTTGGGAATTACTGATCTGGTCCAAACCCTCATTTTAGAGAAGAGATGCAAAGAGGTGACGTGACAGCGCTAAGTCATGCAGTAAGTTTGATCAAAGTACTTTCATTCATTCAAGGTATATTTTCTGAACATCTACTGTGTTCAAGGCACCATGCTGGGTTCTGTGGGGGATTCAGCGGTGAAAAGCCTGACCCCGATCCCTACTCTTACAGAACTCATAGTCTAGCGGGGACCTAGATATCAGGCATGGACCAAGTAGACAGTGCAGACGTGGTAGTACACATGGTAATAAATGCATTCCATCTATGCGGGGTAGAGCGTGCAATGGCAGAGGGTCATGGGGAGACCTGACTTAGCTTGGGTAATCAGAGAAGGCTCCTCTTAGGAAGTGATCTTTCAGGTAAGACCTGAAGGGTTAGCAGGAAAGAGCCAGGTGGAGAGTGGGCAAAGCCAAGGGAAGAGTGTGGCACACTTGAGGCACTGAGGGGATGCCAGTTTGACTGAAGTGGGCAAGGGGGACCACCCTGGTTAAGGCTGCAGAGCCACCACCCAGGCCTTCTGTGTAAATCAGGCCTTCTCTAATTAGTGTCCTCTGGTTCTGTCCGCAGCAAACGGGCCCCATCAGTGCCACCCTGGTGATGACACGCCCCATCAAAGGGCCCAGGGATATCCAGCTGGACTTGGAAATGATCACTGTCAACACCGTCATCAACTTCAGAGGCAGCTCTGTGATCCGACTGAGGATATATGTGTCGCAGTACCCATTCTGAGCCCCGGGCTAGAGCCTCTGACACTGCCTCTCACCAGCACCAAGGGACAGGAGAAGAGAGGAAACAAGAGAGAGAATGAGAGCGAGAGGGATGTTACGCTTTCCTGCTGAACGTTGCCCTGAGGAGTCAGCCTGGATGTCCCCCACCTGTACTATTGCAGACCCGTCACTCTGAAGGGCATGCCGCCCCCAGTGCCTATGATGCAGTTACCAAAAAGTATTATCATGCACCCCTCGATGTGAGGGCCTCGGTGATTTTTCAAGGCCTTCAGTTTATTTCCGTATTTTCCAAAGAAAACAGATTAGGTTTGCTGGGGTGTGAGTCTGTGTTGAAAGACTGTGAACAGCTTGCTCTCACTCTTCCACGCCTTTTTTCTCTCTCTCGCTGCGTTGCTGCTTTGCTGAGGCCCCAAGAGCTCATGGGGAACACTGGGTATAGCTAGTTCGCTTCTTGCGTGTACTGAGAAGGCTATGGAAACAAACCACAGCAGGATCTAAGACTTTTTAAAGAGTCTATTTCAAAACCATGTCTGGTATTTTCAGCCATAAAGAAAGTTCAGTTGTCCTTAAATTTGTATAACTGTTTATTACTTTCTTGTTCATTTTGAGTATTTTTTTTTTTAAATAAGTGGTAGAATTCCTTCAAAAGGCTTTCAGATACATGTTATATTCTGTCTTCCCAAACCCAGTCTCCTCTCCATTTTAGCCCATTGTTTTCTTTGAGGACCACTTAATCATGCTTTCTTTAGAATTTCTACCCAACTGGGTTGGAAGGCAGAGGTCTCCAAACTGATTAAATATTTGAAGAGATCTTGTGTTTGGTTCATTTTGACATCATAGATGATTCAGCATTTGGGGTTGGTGCTAGTTCTGTTTAAACCTGCTTGTTGTGCACTGGCTTGGAAAGTTCTCCAGAGAGCTGGATCATCATAAATGGCTAAGGCAAACTGATGGGAAGTGGGGGATGATTCAGCATTTGGGGTTGGTGCTAGTTCTGTTTAAACCTGCTTGTTGTGCACTGGCTTGAAAAGTTCTCCAGAGAGCTGGATCATCATAAATGGCTAAGGCAAACTGATGGGAAGTGGGGGAGCAGAGAAATGCGGGTGGTGGAGAAGTTAGGGACAAGCATCAGTCTTGAGTCCTGTTTCATTCTATTAGAAAGCAACTAACAGTCCCTCTGTTGTGTGGATTATTTCTGGTGCTCTTCCAGAACAGGAATGTATTCAAGTTACTTTAAAGCAGTGGTCCTCAACCCTGGCTGCATAGAATGATAACTAGTAGAACTTTGAAGAAAAAACTGACTTGGTCCCAGAGACACTGATGTCAGTGGTCTTAGGTAGGGCCCAGGCATCAGGATTTTTCAAAACTCTAATAAATAGAGTTGAGAATGCATTGCTATAAACCCTATGAAGAGAGGTGGACAGATGTGACCCAGCCCTAGCTACCTTGCCCCAACATCTTTTCAGTTGATTGTAGGGTTTATCATCCTTTTCTTCATTAGGGACTCTGGATTTCCTTTAAGTCGTAGGACCCTGGGCAGGGGCAAAGAGAGTCAACAGCACAAGTCACAGATTGGAGAACAGACTGGCACAACTGTCTTTATGTTTCATTCCAGGAGCCGATCTAAGGCTTCAGAAGGAGAAAGTGTACTCCCCAATAGCCAAGATCGAGTCTACAGGATCGATCTGTGGGTGCTCTCATTCTACCTGCTGGTGATGTATTTATTAAAAACTAGCTGTGCCAGGAGTTGTGCCCTGGACCTCTCGGGTTGGCAGGCATTTCTTGGATCCTTAATAACTCACGTTCTTCAGTGGAGGGAAATAGCATGTTTTGCCGCCTGCAGCATCTAAGTAGCTGCAGATCCTCCCTCATCCAGAGAGTGCTTTTTGCACCTACACCACACACCTGACTTTGCTATTGGCTGTGGTTATTTTTTTAACTAAAACTAAGCACACCCAAGCCATGCCCAATTGTGCTCCCATAGTTAGGTTCAGGTGACGTTAACAATAACATCCATGACAGACGTCTCAGAATGCTCTGAAAGCTCAGAAGAAAGAAGGTGATTTCCTTCAGACTTGCCAGCATGCAGACCCAGCACGTTTCTCCATGGAGCAAAGACCAGAAGGTGATGATGGGCCTGGGGCTCCCTTGTGCAGGGAGGTTTAGGTGTCATGGACGGGCATGGAGTTAGCGATGCTGAAGGTTTATGGGAGCTCTGCACCGAGCAGCTCCGAACCACTGACTCTCAGGTGAGACACAACAGAGGGCTAAGGTTTCCTTTAACCTCTGAAAAAGAAGGCAGGGAAGTTTTTTGCCTTGGTGCTTTGAGGACCCATTGGTTTCAGAGGTGCCACATTTGGAACCAGACCCGAGTCTCTAGGGCGTGCATTTTATTTGCTCATGTCAAAGTGTGGCTTCCTGCTTCTAAGAAAAATGGCACAGAGAGACTCATAAAAGCAGCCTCAAAGGGCTTCTTGGACCTCAGATTGCTCTTTCAAAACATGGTCTGATGAGTTCAGTGTAAATAAATCAGAAGCATGTGGGATCAATTTACCTTAAAATATACTTGGGCCTAAAAATTAAGGGAAAAATGGCCTGGGGCAAAGTGTGTACTGTAAGGCCAAACCCCATACACTTTGGAAGCAGTTCCAGAGACTCCCAGAACCCAAAAAGCTGTTCGCTTCAACCACCCCGTTGGGTATCGTCGGGTGTTATTTTTTCACAAGGCTGGCGGTAAGCCTGCTCTCTGAATCCCAGCATTGTGCCCTATAGTGGAGTCTACTGGGGCTGGCTGTTTCTCAGACCCTGAGATATCTGGTCTCCCCATGCCCGTCCCTACTCAGCTCTGCCCTGTCCAGGAGGTGGGCTGTGAGCTTGTCAAGTGAACCACGCTCTGTGCTGCTCCATCAGGTCCTGAAGACTAAAGGGTAATGGGATGGAAGAGGCACTGGATTAAGACCAGGGACACCTGCAAAAGTCCTTGTGTTACTGCCTAATCTTCTGAGTTCCATGTGGATGAAAATGTCCATTCAGTTGCTTCTAATTCTAAAGTGTTGTGATTCCTTGAAATGTACTTTGGGGATGACAGCCAGCATTTCCATTAAACTGCAATTTTAGAGTTTTGCAGTGGCTTGCCAATCATAACACTTTCTAATTGGCACAAAATTCACCTACCTGTTGCCTCTCAGGCTTTGGGTAAAATACTCAAAATTTTCTTAGGTAACAGTGTTGGCCCTTGGAGTGTTATTTGCCCAGATGGTGAAAATATTTAAGTAGGTCTGATTACTTTATTTTCAGAGGTTTAAATGTATTTTTGTGGCCTGGGTGTTTACTGTAATGTGCACAAGTTGTTCATCTTGAGCCGAGAGGGTCACCCAGAGAGAGGTGACATGACAAAGGAGCAACTATTCATTACTCCCCTCTTGCCAAATGAAATCCTGTTTGTAAAAGGTCTTTGTCTTAAGGGGATAACATACTTTAGTTGAGCATTCACTTTGGTTGGTCTACTTGCCAGATTCAGAGAAATGAACAAGACATTCCACTAATAACACATTTATTTATCCAAGGGTTTCTGCAGCATATGAGACGAAACTTGAATACAATGTAATAGATGCCTTAGCAGTGTAAACAAAATTATTTTAGATTTTAATAATTATCACAACATATCTATTTTATATAACAAAAATTCTTATGAACATTCATAGACGTGTTTGAAATTTAGAATAAGATGACTCTGCTTAGAATTATTAAATATGTTTAAAGGAAATACAAAATAAATATTAGGTAAAACTTTTCTTTCTTTTTGATACAATTTGTATGTACTTTGAAATGCAATATTTTCTTTTTGAGAAAAAAGCAACATTTATTAAAGCTCTTCATTATTTTGGAATTGGCCAGCGTTCATCAACTAAAAACAAATACACAGATTGTTTCTTATGTTGATATTTTTGTTCTTAAATTTCTTAGTCCCTTTACTTAACAGATGGTTGATATCTTCATTAGAATCCCTGAGTGTAACTAAAGGATGTTTAAAAAAATAAAATTCTTAGTCCCTTTACTTAACAGATGGTTGATATCTTCATTAGAATCCCTGAGTGTAACTAAACGATGTTTTTTTAAAAAAGAAAAATAACCAATAGGCTCCAGGACAAAGGAGTACATAGAGGCAAGATTTATCACTTTAGTAGTTTTTGTTGGGATGACAGCCTCCGGTTAGAATCTTTGACTTGCTAATGGTTCCTTATAATAAATCTTAGCTAGCAGCCATCAGAAAAATAAACCATTAAAGTAAGAAAATAGTGTCAACACAGGAATGATCTATTAAATTGCCATTGTTGGTGTCCTCTCATAGAGAGGAATTATGCATTGATAGGCAGTGACTAACAGCACCTTTTCCAAGAATTTGGAATATTCTTAGCAATAATGTAAAAATGAAGGCAGGGGTCAATCGTACATAGATGTGAACATCAAGGTCATTATGGTACCTATTTATAAGGATTTGATAAATTATTAATATTGATTTAGGGCCAGAGTCAGTGGATAGGTTGATTCCATTTAAAAGTAGTTGTTGTTTGGGGATGATTGTTTTGGTGTCAACCTAGTCCTTTTTCTAATTCTTACTCTCCAACCCTCTACTTAGAATGAAGTTGATGTTGCAAAACTGACTTCTATCACAAAGATAGTATATTTTAAAATAGGTCCTTTGAGTCCTTCTGAGTGTTAACGTACAAAGCATTCATAATTTATCCTTACAGGGGAGTGTGGATTGCTGTTATATTTGTGAATGATCTCCGTCCCCTGCTCTTAAAACTTTTACCAAAAAAGCCATTATTGAAACCAAGCTCTCATATTTGCAAATACCTGAGCTCTTGACAGTTATCCTATAGTCTCACGTTTTGTTTTGTCTTATTTTGTTTTGTCCTAGTCCCACATTTAAAAAGGCCGCATGGAGATTTCTGCCCCAAAGCTGGCATTTCCACCCAGCATCTTGCCAGCCTTTCTAAGAGGCAGACCTATGGCCCAGTAACATGGCTGCATTTTTATTGTGCAAAGACACTATTAAAATCATAATCTACTTCTTTCCATAAAACCATAGTTAGGGGATCCTTTCAGCTCAGAATTCATGCATATTTGGGGAGATCTAGACCCCCTTGCTTCCTGCTCTTTTCCTTTTGGAGTTTTGGAACATATTGTCTTTTTAGGGCCTTCAGTGTCATTTTTAAAAAAGTCTCATGGCATCATTTTTCATCATAAAAGCCAGGACGTTTCATAAGTAGGTGGTGGAGAGCTCCCAGGTGTACTGCAAGAATTTGGGGACAATAAAGCACACCACCAAGGAGCAGGTTGCCCCATTTGGAGCAACTGCAGGGATGAGACAGGCCCCAGGGAGGAGAGAAGTAGCCCCTTCCAGCTAATACTGGGCCAAGTGCCCCTGCTCGTCATCGCATTCTCCAGGTGCACGCTGCCATCTGGGATACCATCTCGAGGTTGCTCTTGTTCTTAATTTTCACTGGATTTCCCTCAGCCCTATCCCACTCCTTTATTGGTTCTTCAACAACCTGTGGAAGGCCGAGGTGAGAAAGAAGAGGAGGAAGATGGAGACAGCCTGGTTTTATCCTCTTCCTCCCGAGGTTAAACCCCGAATCCCTGCTTTACTTCTGGGTAAGAGCATGGAGGGTCCTTTGCTCCCTTCCTCTTCCTCCTCTCATTTCTTCCCTTTCTTCTCTTCTCCCTCCTCTTTCCTTCTCTGCACTGCCCTGCCCACCACCACCTCCTGATCTCCATCCTGAAGTTGGAAGGAGGTCGTCAGGG